GAAGGCGGGCAGAGATGAAAGGGCCGCAAGGCTTTGCTCCGTGCCCGCGCTTGACGTGCCTGCCGCATGGCAGCTGGGGAATAATCAGACCAGACCGGTGCGCGGCTGTGTTCCCCTGGGCTCCCAGCCTCCCCACGCCCCGCACCTCTGGTGGCAGGAACGGGGTGCATGCCTGAAGTCACACTGCCGCTGAACCTTCACCCTGTTTAACGCTGTACCAGCAACGCTGCAGCACTGTGTCTCTACCTAAACTTAAGACAGAAGTAATCAGCATTTTGGATGAGTTTAAAAATATCATAATCACAGATGTCAACGCTATGCTATATGTCAGCCAGTACGTGCTCTGAATCACAGATGAAGTTTTAATTCTGCGTCTGTGCATCATTTGTCTTGTTCTGAGACTGACCTGAGCGTATGAGACTGAATAAGAAAAAAATACTTCTAAAAAAGAAGTATTCCAGTAAATTCCACTATGTCTAAGTTTCCCTGCACTTGCAAAAGACAATATGGCATGTTCCATTTCTTGTAAATTGTTCGGGTGAGCACTGTATGGCACTTTTGCAAAGTTCTTTGAGATAAGGCAGGATAAAAAACACGGCATCAAAGTACAGTTTACTTAGAGGTGGAATTATTCTTCACTGTAAGCGTGTTGCGAAGGGCTCAAACGTGAGATAGCGCAAAGAGAAGAGAGGAACAGAGATCTTAACTTCCTTCTTCACAGAGCAACTAAGAGCTGTATTGGAAACAAATATTTTTCAGTGGTTTAGATCTACCATCCCATGGCAGCATCAGTCCCGAACAGAGAACTGAACTGCAAGTTCTTTGCCTTTCCTCGGTCTGAAATTGGTGTAAAAAACATCAACGGAGGGAAAGCAGCAGGATGGAAAGGATGAATCACTTTTACCTGCAGCAGTAATTCAAGAACGTAATTGGGAACATAAACATTTCCTTCATTATACATTAGGGTAACACTGTTGTGTACATCACCATCACAGGTGGAATGATGTTGGATCTACTGGGACAGCAGGCAGAGTAGTTACTCAGAGACAATGAAGACCTCTGCTCCAGCTGGCTCCATCTTCAACACTGAAACATGAACACAGTCTTTCCATCCGGAGAATCTACAACATGAATCTTCCCGAGCTGTACGGTCCACGTCAGAAAAACTGACAAAGGTTTCAGGGAAGTGAAGCCTACAGTATCACCTTGTGGAACTTTGTATCTGGCTTCTCTGACCTATGAAAAAGATTTCTTGATGTAAACTCTTACGCAGAAGATCAAGAGTCCTTTTAGATAGCTTGCTGCTGCCCAATCACTGCAAAGATTTAAAAAAAAAAAAAAGTTTAATCTTTTACACAACCATAGTTTTCTTTTGTGGGCAATTTTAGGAAAACTGAGAGAATTTTTTGTAAGACCACTCAAATTGACTGAGCTGTGAAACCAAGCTGTTTTTCAAGAGCAGCGAAAATAGAGCAATAGAGAAAGGGAGTCAATGTGCCCTGTGATCGTTCAGATGTGAAAATCTGCCCATTGCTCATAAGCCCCTTATTGTCTATAAGGAGGATGATCCCCTGCGTGAATGTTTGTTGCCATATTTTGACAGACCTTGCTTAATCTTTATCTGTAACACCGAGATATGATTCTTTCAAGATTGGCATAACCTAATAGCAATTTCGCTTGGGTTTGGCCCATGTTCACCAGTCTGAGTGAGTCAAAAGGTAACAAGCTTGGGGAGCCACTAGTAAAGTAGACAGACATCTATACACAGGGTCACCTGAGATGTCTGCTGCCTTTCAGACAAGGCTGATCGTGGGGAAAAGGGTACACGTTGACAGGGTGAACCACATGGGAAAAGATGGGATGTAAATCCAGAAATCATTATTCAAAGCTGATTCAAGTAGCTCATGGTGACTCAGGTGGCTTTCTTATTGAGGTTATGGAGGAATAGCTTAGCCAGAGCTTCTCTTTACACCAAACACACAATTGTAACTCAGCAGAACCATTTTATATGTAAACAAATTGGTAAGTATGATTAACAGGGCTGGAGCTACACCTGACCCCTTGTTTAGCCAAATGCAGTGATATGGAAATCTGAAGCTTGAATTAAGCTAGTCCACTAGACTAGTCCACAACATTAGGAAATATGAATTGCCACCTCAGATGCCTGCACAGATCTCTACAGTACCGAAAGAACGGAACAAAGTTCATCACCCACCAGAAGGGCAGCAGTACACAGATAAGCTTTAGCCTGGAGTTCTAGTAATCGTGATCTGTCTTTCATCCAAATGCATTGTATGTCAGCTCTGAAACTGAATAGCTTACAAGAATGGAAAATAGTAGGTTCACAAAAAACCCCAGTGTGAGCACAGACCACATGGAAGACAGCTACAATATGCTTTACCTCGTACCTCTCCCTCACCCTCCCCCCAAAAACCCACTTCCAGACCTATTCATATAAGGCACTATTAATATTGCGCTAGAGATGAATATTTAAAGATGCTGCATATTCTACACTCCTAAACCTCACATATATAAAAGGGTTTACACGGCAACTTTTAATCCTTTTGAGATGACAACCGTTTTCTTCCAAGAACATATGGGGAAAGTAGCTTCTCATGCTAGGTCCAAGTTAGACTACATGAACACTAATTTGGTATTTGAATTCAGATGAAAACAAAGGTCTTGCCTGCACCTTGCACTGATCTGAGAGCCACTAGTCATTTCTCCATTTCCCTAGGGATAGGCAGCTTACAGTAATAAGTTTCCTACATTTAATTCAGTAATCACCCATTTAACAGCAAGATGACAGAGCCAGCTTGTATTTGTTGAATGGTCAGATCTATTATTTAATATTCTGAATAAAGTTTGAGATGCTATCAACCCCCCCACCAGATTAGTATATAGTAGCACAGAGTATGTTGCTGTAAGTGTAGACAACACTGTAAATGCATTTAGATTGTTAAAAGGCAGATACTGTGAGAAGCAAAGCTTGGTGCTGCAGATACTTTGTTATTAAAAATGCTTTGATCCTACTGCTCTTTTAAAGAATTTGGGAGATAACACAAGGCTGACTTTACAAAATTAGGAAGCTGGAAGTTCTCCCTTTTAATTAGGTGATACCAAGAATGCAGTAACTAAGTAAGTGTGTAATATCAATGTGCTGCCATTAAACGCCTTGGACCAATCGAAAGCAGTAGTTAGTTTAGTTCAGCTGGGACACTGCTCAGAACCAAGTGGAAAATTTTTACCATGGTGATCAAAATTTATAGTGTAACTGAAAACTGATGCAAAGAGAACTTTCCTATGGATTTGTTCATGGATTTGTGTTTAGCTCCTTCTATCAAGAGGTGCCAGAACACCTTATGTGCCAGCTAGCCCGAGAAAAAACAAATTGTACACAGAAGAAACAGCTCTGGGTAAGTTTGAAATAAGTGAAGGAACAAGGCCAGTAGTATAGCCTTTCACATTTAATCCATGTATCCTTTGATCTTTCAAAGATATGCCACATTAATTTTACTAAACAAGTGACACTCCTCTATATATATTAATAGATAAAATGTTTGACTTGAAGTCATTGTTTGAAGGTCCTATGTGATATGTCATTATCAGGAGAAACACATGGTGACTGAATGACAAGATGCTGTCTTCCAGATATCCTAGTGAGAAAGATAATAAATGCAGGCAACAGGTTGACAGTTAAAGTTGTTATCTTTAATGAAATGACTTTGGAAATAGCATCAATTTCCATGACACCAACATTTTGGGAAGTCCCATAAAATGCAGAGTTACATTCCAATGCCAGTGTTACAGGCAGATCTCCTTTCACATGGCAAATAGGATCAAGAAAGCAACCATCAGACAGAAGAGACCCATAGCTTCAGACAGGGCGAATCCCAGGATAGCATATGAGAACAGCTGCTGCTTCAGAGAAGGATTTCTAAAAGAAAGCAAAGGTGTAAGACCTTTTTATCTTTACAATTAGTACGTTTTTTCATACAGCTTAATGCATCTGACAGATTCAGAACCTCATACTTCCTTGCCACAGGTTCCGTAACAGGAAAACCCAGTAAATCCAAGCAGAAGTAACTTTTAGTAAGGATTTCACTGAAGACAAATGACTTGGCAATTAAGACTAGATTCAGGTTATGCAGATTGTATACGGCTTTTCCAAATGAGCGCAGTTTTTGTGACTACATTCATATATGCTTTTGAATTTGACTTCTCTACATCCTCCCATGCAGGAACTGTCAGCATTATGCTTTATAAATTTATTTCGCATCTGTGACATTATAACTATATTCCAAGGAAGTTTGTGCATAACATTTTAAGTAGCTCTCAGACAAATAAAGGAACTGAAACCATCTAGAGCAAAAAAAGAAATGCACAGCAGTTCGTTACAAAAATGCAATGAATTATCCCTCCAAGAAGGGTGTGAGAGAGAAAAAAACCTTCAACATAATACTGTGAAGTAATGTTCTACAATCTCTTATTGGCATGTTCATACCGAATTCAAAAAAGGAGATAGTAGTTTTGTACTTGAAAACACTTAAGTTTCTTCAAGTGGAAAGTGAACTTCCTTGTCTTCAGCAGGGCTTAAAAATCTTTAAGAAATAAAACCTAATTAAGTCTTAACTGGTTGGAAGAGTAATGAAGAACATAAAACCTTCAGTAAAGCTTTTTTATGCCTGTATCAGTTCTGTTCTTCCATGATACCACATGAACTATTCCTACTACCGGAACATTGTAAAGTTATCTGGAAGAAGTTCACCGCTACTATAAAATCCTCACCCCCTTCAGATTTCCAGAAGGAATGATTACTGATTTGATAATTACATATTCTGAGATGCAAAGCTGAACGTGTTAGAAAAACGAATTAAGCATCCATTTCTAAGTAACAATCCTGACTACTAAGTCTAAACCTCACATTACTTATTACCAGTTTTCATACAGTTTCTCTTTAGGACTTCTCCTCCCCTCTCACATGGGAAAAGATCCAGGCTAGATTTTTAATTCCATTCTGGAACTGAATCCTGAAACATTGGCCTTCAGTGATCATAACACTGACCAAATCTAGTGATCTCATTTCTTTCATGTCTCTTCTCCAGGTAGAGTGTACAAAGTTCCGAATTTAACCATGCAGCCATCCTGATGAATATACTACAGTTTCGTATGATTCTATTTATCCATGCTTATCGTTAATAGTAACTATTAACAGAACTTATTACAGTGTCATCATCCTTACTACAACTTAGCTTATCTGGGGGTGCTGTCTCAAGATACATCTGCATGCAATTCAAGAGTTTTGTAACAGAGAGGTTGATTACCTGGCATAACCAATGATTAGACTACCGAAGACTGTTCCAATACCAGCACCAGAACCAGCCACACCTACTGTGGCAGCACCAGCACCAATAAATTTGGCAGCAGTGTCAATGTCTCTGCTGATAGCACTAGTCTGGAATTCTCTAAGTGCTAGTCGGGAGACAGTATTTTGGGCCCCATTAAGTGCTGAGTTGCCCTAAGAAAACAAAACATGAAAAAACATTATTTTCAGACAATTTTCTATGACCACTTTCATAGTGTTATTCTGAAGTTTTAAAAGTTGTGTTAGACCCAATGTCTAGTTCCTCTTCCAAGTGATGAGACTATAACCAAGAGTTAAAAACTTCAGAATGTTACCTGTTCCACCTGAAAGCAATCAACTTTAAATGTAAAAGACTTCTCAGGGGAAACAGCAAGAAAGCAACAAGTATTATTAGGTGTTTGACTTAAAGCAAGTTTCACACTATAGATGTTTGAGTTAGTACAAGTGAACTCTAGGTTGAGGACATTTAGGCTCACCAGGTAATTTAGGAAGATACAGAATTTTGTTTATAAGGTACCTCTCCAGTCTTGACCTCTGGCCTAGACAACACAGATGCCGAAATTGGTCTGTACAAGATTCTTGATCCAGCACGGATCTGAAAGAGGAGGAAAAAAGCTATAGAAGAAGAAACATTTGATCACAGGTGTTCCCATACGATAGTCTGTAAGATTATGAGCCATTTGTCTTACTTGACAGACAGCAACCTCTGCGTAGCTGGATATTGAATAAACGATACAGAAGCAAACACTGCCATGCAATTTGATAGCACTGTTTTCAGGACACGCTATTGCAAATAGCTACATCATTCAATGAGCCTGTACATGCGTTATACTGATGGAAAATGTAGCAAAGCAGCAGCAAAAAAGCCAGACAGACCACCAGGCAGCAATATACATTTTGAAATGAAAAAATAAAACCCATCAAAATGAATTCCAAAGTTGTTAAATGCACAGACATAACCCAGACTTTTAAATCTAGCGAGGCATAAATGAATGAATCCTCTTTCACAAGCGGCCTGCATGTGTCCTTGGGCTTCCAGCAGTCTAAGGTCATATCGGCTCTTGCACAAAGCTCTTCCTGCAGGGGAAACCTACGCCTGCACCATGCAAAACAAAGCCGTTCTGCAGGCTAGAGAGGACATTTTGAAGAAAGATAGCCCCTTGTCTCTGCAAGGGCAAAAAATCCCGGCCTTGTGTAGGACAAGCAACAGGCTGGAGTTTGACCTACAGCAAGGAGCTGAGCGCACCAGGCCCAAGAGCTTTCTGCTGCGCTGCCCTCCCCCTTCACCGCTCGTGTGGGAAGGCCCCTCACCTTGGCACAGGGCCCTGGCCCACGCCAAGGAGGCGGGAAGGAGAACCCGGCCCCGCCGCAGCTCCCCTCCTCACCCTTTCCACTCGGCCGGGCAGCCCTCGGTACGGGCTCGTCCTAGGGGCCTGCCCCGGGACGGGAGTAAGTGGAACGACCTAATTAGTGCTGGTCTTGTACGAGCAGTATGAAGGTCACGTCATGGAGCTGACATCTTCATCCTTGGGATTGAAATGAGTTCTGCCTCCCGCGCTGATTTTTTCTAAGGGAAATTCTCATGATGAGTGACAATGGAGCCTGTCCTATGTCCTTAGCCTTTAAGGCCATGTAAATTGCTCACGCGGCCTATTCACGTGAAGAAAGGAGACGTTTGTAGTAACACCAGACGCGCACACGTGCATACAGCGTCACAAAATGCAGGTGTGTGCGTGGCGTGTACCTGGGTCTGTATTTGAGAGAGCTCCTGCGTACAGCCGCAGGACGCCCGTTAGCTCACCCAGGGCAGCTGGGAGCTGCTGTCGATTGCCGTTTTGCTGGGCTAGCTCTTCATCTTCTCTTCTTACCAGTCTGAATCTGATCCTAGTGGAGATGTTTTATTGTTTTATGGGTTGTTCAGCAGCGATGCTCCCTGTGGCGGGGGGGGGGGGGGGGGGGGGGCGGGGAGCGGGGGGGTTGGGGCCGCCGATGGGACCGTTAGGGCCGTTAGCCAGAGCTGCGCACCGCACGGCAGACCCAGCCCGGCGGCTTCGCTGCCGCTGTAACCCCGCGTTGGGGGGCGGCGCGGGCTGGCGCCCCGAGGGCCTGCGGGGGCAGAGCGGGGGGGGAGAGGTCGCTTCGCCCCGGCGAGGCAGCGATTCGCGGCGTGGAGAAAGCCCGTTAACGAGGGGAGCGTGAGAGCGCTGCGGCGGGGGGCGCTGAGGGGGGGGGGGCCCACCGCAGCGCGCGAGTGGCGGCGAGCAGCCGGCGCGGGGAGGCCTCCCCAGGCGGGTGAAGACGGGCAGAGCAAGCCCCGGTGTCCGGGAGCGCCGGTGCCTGACTGGAACTGCGGCTTCTGGCAGGGTGCGGGGCGTTCGCAACCTGCAGAAACGTACCCGAAACGCCTCAGGTGCCACCGGGGCGCGATTCACAGGCAGGGCACGTCTGAGAACCCCCGACGTGCTCGAAAAGCCCCCACTATTCCATTAGTTATTTTTGCATGATGAGCAGGTTCACAGCCAAGTAATGAAAAAATCCTTTTTAGTCAAGCTTAATCAAAGCAAGATTATCATTACTGAGCTCAGCATGTGTTCCCGAGAATCCCGCTTGAATCACTTACATGTTCTTTGATGTTTTTCACTTGATACGGGGGATCATTATTTTAATGGTCATTTACCACTGTTAGTAGTATTGGTGCCAACTAGGAAAAATGCAGAAAAATCCACGTTTTGGGTAAAACACTGGGAAACATATATTTAAGTTGTTGCAAATTTTTTTCATAAAACTAAATTCTAAAACAGTCTGTGCGCTACAAACCTTCTCCGAAGGGATGAGTAAGAGGATATGTACGTTATATTTTTGGATGGGAACATAGCACAGTGTCTTCGGAGTTAGTTGCTGTCCTCCTGCAAACTTCCATGGCCTATTGATGTTGCTGTCACCGATCAAACCACAGGTGCCACGCAGCTGAGGCACACTCCCTATCAGCAACTTGAGCGCCCACCAACAAACATGATCGATAGGCACTTTCAACAGCTGCATACTAATGTTAACGATAATGTTGCTTTTATAACCTACAATGCAGTGTCTTGTGACCCTTAGGTATGGTGGAGTTGTACTCCGTTGTCGGTCCTAAGGTGAGAGACAACAGTACAGTTTGAATTTCCCGGCTTTCTGCTCTCTGCCTCAATCCCAACAGCAAGCTTGGTTTGGTTCCGGGGTCCTTCCAGAGCCTTAGTAATAGAGCAGCAAGAAGGGAGTCTATGAAGGCCAGCAAAAGAGGTTATAAGTTGCCACTTTTTTTTGTTTATTTTCTTTTTTTCTTTTCACATCTTACAGCCGTTGTTTGGGAACTGAGGGGAATGGGCAGATCTGCAGTGCCTGTCAAGTGGTTCTTCCATAGACAAGTGCTAAGTAAGAAATAAGCATCAATGGCAAAAACCTTTAATGGCTAGGCAGAACTTTTCACTTTTAAAAAAAATTCAATCTGCATGCTGTTGTGGTAACAAATACTTCCAGCACCATGAATAAAGCCGTAAAGCAAATGTGGATGCTGTACTGGTGGAATGACTTAAATGTAACGTGTCGCTGTATGCCAGTGTACAAAGTACACCGTTTATGAAGTAGTGTACTTCCCAAGGGGAAGTGTAGCAGCGAGCAGGCCGTTTGCAACAAAGAAACCCACTTGTTCATGGAAGGAAGCGCAGCAGTTAGAGACGTTTTCTTTTGGACCTCCAGGCATGAAGTGGATCTTCCCACAGCTCTCCTGAGTAGAGAAGAAAGTGGACGTTACCCTCCTGTTTATGCAGAGCGCAAAGTCACGGGGATTCAAAAAAGTGTTAAAATGGAAACCCTCTTCTTTCACGAAGAAAGTGTCCTCTTCTGTCACGATTCCCACCCTGGAATGTTTTGCAAAAAATGCATTCACAAGCTGTTCAATCTGAACAACGTCAAAACCACCATTAAACACTTGTTTATTGTCGCTTTTAAGGCATAACAGCTGATACTGTATTTTACATGCAACTCGGCTGGTGCTTTCAGGAGGAGTTAGAAGAGCAGTTATTGATCTCTGGGGACCACGTTCAGTTTAATTCAAGCAGATCTTCATAAAAAAAGACTTCAGTTAATCTCATGCTGTTTCCTGTCTGCTTGACCTGCTGCTGGGTCCCCAAGGAAGTGCATCGGTGCACTAAAGGGCAGTGTAATTTCTAATTGCTCACCACGTTTCTGAAAGTCTATGCTACTGGGAATTTTATCTTAAACTCCCAAAATCTCTTAGAAGAGATTCCCAGTTTTCCAACTGACTCCCCCAGACAGGACGAGTTTTGCATGTAGGCGGTAGCCAAGGCTGCCAGAGGAGGTTTCCTCCCTGTTTCGCCTCTGGCAAAGAAGATGCAGTGCAGCTGCTTGAGCAGTACGTGGTGCCTAAAGAGCTGCTCCACTTCTCTCCCGCAGCTCCCTGCTGCTGAGCCAGGTTTGTGTCAGGGCAGTAAGAACAACAAGTAACCACTAGCTGTGGTTCACTATCTGGGAAAGAGAAAGATCATCCCAGATTTCCCGAGCCTTCTGAAGACTTCCCCTGAAACCATAAAGATTTTCCCAGTCATTTTGTCCTTATTTTTAGAAAAGCCTATTTCATCTTCTGTGCCGAGCAGCTGATTTCCTAGGTACACCATGTGATGGATCAGTCCTACAGTGACATGCAGTTTCACTTTGCAACCCTGAAATGAATTGGTATCTGCACATATCGGACTCGGTTACAACACGAGTATCAGCAGAACAGACATTGCATACAAATGGCATTTTTCCGGTGACTTCTTGTGGTGGGTTGACCCTGGCCGGATGCCAGGTGCCCACCAGGGCCGCTCCATCACTCCCCCTCCTCAGCTGGACAAGGGAGAGAAAAGATAACGAAAGGCTCGTGGGTTGAGATAAGGACAGGGAGATCACTCACCAATTACCATCACGGGCAAAACAGACTCGACTTGGGGAAATCAGTTTAATTTATTACCAATCAAACCAGAGTAAAGTAATGAGAAAATAAAAACTAAATCTTAAAATACTTTCCCCCCACCTCTCCCTTCTTCCTGGGCTTAACTTCACTCCCGAGTTCTCTACCTCCTCCCCGCCAGCGGCACAGGGGGATGGGAAATGGGGGTTGCGGTCAGTTCACCACACGTTGTTTCTGCCGCTCCTTCCTCCTCAGGGGAGGACTCCTCACACTCCTCCCCTGCTCCAGCATGGGGTCCCTCCCACAGGAGACAGTCCTCCATGAACTTCTCCAACATCAGTCCTTCCCACAGGCTGCAGTTCTTCACAAACTGCTCCAGCGTGGGTCCCTTCCATGGGGTGCAGTCCTTCAGGAACAGGCTGCTCCA